GAGAAAGGAGGGGAAGAAGCAGCAGAACAAGGGTTACAAGAACAGCCTGTATTGCTAACGAGGGACATCATTCCCATGACACTGCTTCCAGGACGCTGCACCCAGCAGCCTCACGGAGGAATGCGTTGCTTATGGCGTGACCAGGGGGGCTGTACTCCTTTCAGGCAGCAGCACAGGTGACTTGTCCGTGGAAGATCCTGCACTCACACGACAGCAGGTTTGCAGCTACTAAATGTTGCGCTATTTGCAATTTTACTTTCCATTTAGTTGTTTAAGTTAATGTCTTCACTAAATTATTATGCTTTTCTTTTTCTTTCCCCCCCCCAGGCAACTAGTTTCTGTACCGAAAGCTGATTTTCTTAACCAGCTGCCACGTGGGTTGAGATACAGTGCTTGAAGGGGCAGATTGAAGTTCTGCTTTGTGGAAATGAAGTGCAGTGCTCTATAATTTAGCATCAATATGCAGAGTATTTATACATTAAAAAAATGAAGTTCTGTATTGTAGATCAAATGTTAACCTTTGAATAAATTTTTTAAACCTAACTGAACTAGAAAAGAACAAACACTATTGTAAATCTATCTCACTGCCCAAGGGAAAAAAGCAGTTCTGTAAACAGCTCAGGTGTGGAGCACTAAATAAAAAGAGAACTGGAATAATCTGTATTTTATAGCAAAAACTAAAATCAGTTCTACATATACAGATTTTATTTTCATTTGAGGTTACAATCCACTTTCTCTGTAATCTTCCTCTTGAATTTTTCTCGTTGGTATATACTGATGCTTGTGCTGGCGATACATCTGACAGAATTTTAGCTTGGTCGTCGAGGGAAAGTTCTTCTGCTGACTCACAGGCTTCCTGAGGTGAGAAGGAAAATTTCTTTACAAATATCTTTCACATTACTATTTTATATGAAGGATACTTTTTCTTTTTTTTTTGCTTCAGAGAAAGGTGGTAACTTTTAGTCTGCCTTTTCCATTACCTTGAAATGCTCGAAAGAAAAAAACAAAAGTGCAAACAAGCACAGGCTTCCCCTTCCCCCTCCAATTCTAGCACACAGTAATTCGTAGCAACTATTCTGCATCTCATTCTAGCTTCAAAGCAATTGCCATCATCCTCTACCAGGAGAATCTAGGAAAATAGTTACAGCTTAAAGCACATTCAGAAGTTCATTAATAATGCCACTCTGTATCTTTAATGAGAACCTGTAGTTTTAAATGAAGTGATGGAATGAGAGATGTGATAACTGAAATTAAAATAAAACTTTTTTATTTGGCATTAATGGGTAAAACACATGCTGCCTGAATCTGCTTGTTTTATAGCTCTTTCAGGAAAATGGGAAAGCTGGTATCGAAGGAATACTCTTTAAAAAAAAAAAAATAAATTTTATTTTACTTATGTTTTCTTTGCTTACAGTTAGGGAAATCCCAAACATTTTATTCTTCTTATTCTTGATTCATTGAAGCATTGATAATGTGAGACAAAGCCATTTAATTTGGCATAACGTATTACAGATTATATTTTAGTCACTGTTTTTGAGTGACTATTCTTCCTGAATTCTCATATAGGAAG